CACACACACACACACACACACACACACACACACACACACACACACACACACACACACACAGTGTGTGGCATCCAGGAATCAAATTGTGCTGTACGTAGGTAATCTTGCTCTGACATATGATCATAATAAAAAGCTTAACAAACCAAGTGTCAGTAGACCACTTAGATCTATCGCTCCAAGATGTGATCAGAGCCTTAGTTTACTGTGCAGTTCGTCTAATGGCACGTTGTACAAGGGGGGGGGGGATTTTTTCCCCAGCAGCACAACTACATCTGTGGATGTATGTATCAGCTGAGTGACAGGCTGTTTGGAACAGAGTGGCCAGCCAATGACATCCATCATAGCCATAATCTCAGAATGTATCCTCAACCTCTTTCACACAAACTGACATACAAACACACTTGCAGGTTTGAAACCTTCAATTGGTCCCCATGGTGATCATTATTAGCCGTGTTCCGTCTGTCTATCTCTGAATTGTGAAAGCTATACATGGCCTCCAATTCAAACACAGAGACAAACACACACATATCTGAAGTAGGTTATTTGCCCTCCATCCTCCTAGCAGGAGAATTGCTGTATTTCAGCCTAACCTGTTATATAAAGAGTTATGTTTCTATGCCAGACACAAATGATGCCACTGACCATTGCCCTCAAACCCAAACACCCAATGAAATTACTATACCAGATCTCATACTGATCAGTGTTTCAATCAGCCACTATAAAACTACACATTTTCATTTTCAATTCCCAGTCCATGTTTTATGCCGATTACTTTTTGGACTGGTTGCAAATACAGTTTGACATGAAAACGACTATCATATGTGCCTGGGCTTGATTGATGGATAAATATAGACAAGATTTGGCTCAGATAAATGTTATGTCATGTTTATCACCAGTAGCAGCCGGTAGCAGAAGGAAGAAACTGCAGAACGCTGGTGACTAACAAGTGATTCAGACACATTGCATAGGGCATTTTTAAATTCAGTTTGAATATCAAAGGATGTGCTTAATCACAAGGCCAATCACAGATTATCTAGATTCTAGATAAACTGCCAAGACAGTGTGAGACATGAATTAGGAACAGGAGGAGAGACATGTGCTTGTTTACAATCTTTTTTTAAAAACAGTTTAGATCAATAAAAGAAACATATGAAGTAGAGCTGAGGTCAACTGAAACCTACAGACCTGAGTCTTCCACGATGGCTGTGTCCATGAGGGTATCCATGGCTGTGGGACCTCCTGGGGACCGGCCTGTCCTCCTCGTGCATGTGATGTAGCGAAGGCGAGCGGGAATGGGAGGATCTGGAGCTGCCTGTGCTCTGGAGACTGCTGTCAGGGATCTCTCCATGACGGCTCTGACACAGAAGAAGAGACAGGTTTCATATGCACATGTAAGACACAGAAATCCCCTTTGTGCACTCTTATCATGGGATTGTGTCAAATTGTTTACCATTTCTAGTTTATTTGTTTATAGTGTCGTGGACAGTCCCCATTGATCAACCGTCACAAAAAACAGTAAATGGGGCAGCTTTAGCAAACATTGCTAATTTCCAGTGTTATAGAAGCATATTATATTCACTTACTTACTTTAATAATATCATTCTGTGATTCTTATTTGCTAATGTTTATCTAGATTTACTACTTCTCACACTTCTTAGCTAAGCTTGAGAAAATTCCTTATTAAGAAGATTTGTTGCAATGTTGTTAGTTACACTACGACAGAGACGGCTGAATGGTTTGATTCTCTATCCACATTTGATAAATAAATTCCCACCACACCAGCTGTTGTCCCCGGCCAGATGATAAAGGACACCCTTAAAATCACAATACATCAACAGCATTAGTTATACAAAAAGGACTAAAGACAAGTAGGTACAGGCGAAAGGATAAAAGAGAACCCTTCTTGACTTGTTTTGTAATCTCTGACTTTGCAAACCTGCACAGTCTCTCCTTTCCGTCTTACCTCTCCGAGGCTGCTGTGCTGCTGACCGAAAGCTGGCAGGCTGCGCAGTGAGGGGACGGGGGAGTGACCTTGCCGGCCACGAGGTTCTCTGGGGGCCTGACCGTGGATGTGATCGTGGTCCCCGTTCAGGTTGTTGTCACTCGCAGAGCGGAGCAGAGATCGTGGCGAGGGCAGGGGTCCCGCTGTCAAACGTCGACGGCTGGTGTAAGAGGGGGTCTCCCTAAAAGGCACTGAAAGAAGAGACACGTCTTAACAGTCTCACCATAATATATAAAGCTACTGTAGCAGGCACAGTGAACAGAATTATTTGATGGGGAGATAACTGCAATTTCACACATCTCAAGGCCACTCAAAGTATTTAAACGGTTGCACTTATCTGACAGTAGGCTGTGCTTTCATTTCATTTGCAAAATACTTATTTTATTATCTGTTAGGAACAGGAAACACAGAGGATCTGGTACTGCAGTAAAGCCTTTGAATCTTAAGAATCAAATTTAAAATATACTATCAAATATAGGACTACATTTACATATTAATAACTATGATGACATTTTAACCCCTGAAGAATGAAGACCCAAATAAAGAATAAGGATATCCGTGTAGATGTTTCAGAGAGGCAGAACTGGGTTTTTATTGTAGCTGGGAATTTAATATTGTCTTCATGATAAATTGAACCTACAAAATATTTGAAATTGTATATATAAGTTCTTATATGCATTATTAAAGTATATTTAAAGTTCAATGAAGAAGGCGGCACAACTTTTATTTAAAGTGTAAATTGAAAGAGGTTCATAAAGTTCCCATTTGAAACTGCTTCTTGTTAAATGGGATCAAATATGAGCATTTCAATATAAAATAATGGTGTTTTATTATATATGTATGGTGTCGTATGATAAAATAAAGAACCTTGAACCTTGAATTACATTGTGTCCACACTAGATGGCAGAGTTTCCCAGTATGTATATGTCAAGGAGAAACTGCTCAGCAGGAATCCAACAAATCCATGAATCCTTCTCCACCCCTTAAATGTCTATTTTCTTCCCTTCACTTCCACACAGCTCAGTCTATAACCTGTCCTCACCTTTTTGAACTTCTCTATCTACGCTCAGACATTCTTCAGTCTGATCACTCCCTGATACCTCATTCATGTCTGAACCTATGAAACACTGAGGCAGCCAGGTAGAGAAATACTACCACCGCTGTTAACTTACCAACATCTGATACTTTGTGGACCTTTATGATTTCAGCCAGATCAAAGTTTCCTGCTATAATAGCCACCTGGAGATGAAGAAGAGACAGGGAAAGGAAAGGAGCAAACACATAAGTGACAGAAGCTACACAAAAATTAAAAGCAACAAATTGTCAGCAAAGAAATCGCTCACTCTCCTCATAATGTTTTACACATGTACTCCTTTGTTGTGTTTAAAATCAGTACGTCTGGCAATGTTCTGCCTTGTGTAGAAACAAATTAACTTTGATTTCCACAGGAAGTGTCAGTCTCAATTTGACACAGACTTCATCAACCAGAAAGACTAGTATTCAGACAAAGCCCAAATTGTGTTTTAAAAGAGATCAATAAATCCAATTTAGCAGCATTTATCTGTGTAAGACAAGTCATTCAATCTGTTTAGCTCTGACATGTCAAAGATGTAGGGCATGTGAATAGTCCCATGGCATGCAGAGGTTTTGGATAACAAACATACCTGAAAGGCGCTCTGGCTGTTGTAGTTCTTTATCTCTTTATTGGCCCCCCGGAACAGGATAACTCGTGCACAGCTGTCCTGAATGACGAGAGCAACATGTGTGTGGTTGGTTAGCTAGGAGTTTTACATGTCACTATATTTTACCATCTGCAACATTCAAACAGAAATATTAAATTTAAAGAAACAGTGCTGTGAGAACATTTTAACAGAGGCAGCATTACTGCACGATATGTTTGAAAGTGTGAGCACTGACTCCAGCAGATGAAGTGCATAATGAGCAACAATTCACACACACACACACACACACACACACACACACACACACACACACACACACACACACACACACACACACACACACACAATTATCTACAATGCAACCATATTCACTGCTAATTAACTATGAAGCGATTTTTAGAAGGAAATAGGGAAAACACTAAATACCCTCCGACTAATAATAGAAGCAGACAGACAATGGGTGAGGTTGTTTGTGTTGAATTTGAACTTGACATTCAAATAATTGCAATATGCTACAAGCTGCAATTGATCTTTTATCATATTTTTTAAGGCCTTTAATTAAGTCAGAGTTGCTGGACCTCCTGCTCTGCTCTTAACTTGTAATGTATATTGAGTGGAATACTTGTTGAAATGGATGGTTTAACTTAAACTCTTAGCCATGTCTTTGTGTAGCACTGTAAACAAATGATAATGGTGGCGTGCCAATAAATGATGTTAGTGTCCAGACTCACATTGATACTGCTTTTATCTCATACCTCATAGACCTCATATCTCATAGCCCTAGTTTTAATATACTTTCATCTTTGAATTTCAGTAAACATAGCAGGAAGAAAAGAAAAAGAAAAGAGACACAAAAAGTCCCCAACATGCTCTGTACTAATCACAAGTAGTAAAACACTGTCTTTTATAAAAGGAATTCAATGTAAAGCTTGTTGGCCAAGCATTGGCTAAACTATACTTAAAATGCAAAAGGAGGCTAAAATGAATTAAATCCAAGAAACACATTATAACAAGGATGAAACAGACACCCTATATAGTTTTACAACGCTCTTTCTCTCCCTCTCTCTCCTTCTCTCTTTTTTCTCAAACTATTGCTACAGTATATAATGTTTTGAGTGTTAAAGAGAAAAAGGGTTGATTTTGTATTCATCACTGAGTGCAGAATAAACGCGACTAGTTTGGCTCTACACACAGCACACTAACTCTGGTGACTCCTGTCATGTTGAGGGACATGCACACACACACTATTTGAACATGAGGTCAAGTAAAACAGATCCATGTGATTTTCCTCATTATCCGTGGTGTATCTGATTAACTGGTCTTGGCAACATATGCATGAGGTTAACACAAACAAACTGGAGCACCCTCTTCTGGTAAAACACATAGATGGTAGCTACGTGGGTTCCCTGAAATGACCATGGTGTCCTGCATTAGCATGTACATGTAAACATGGTTGTTAAAGACATGGGGATATTTGTAAATAGAGCATGTGTGTTATGAATAATGCATGATCACTCTTACTACTAATAGCCCATACAGTATAACTGCTCAGGGTCTAAAACATCTAAAAACGTATATAGATAAATGCCTGCGGCTTTAAAGTGTGATGATCGCTAATCAACAATACATTATGCAGTTGCACACACACACACACACACACACACACACACACACACACACACACACACACACACACACACACACACACACACACAAGCAAACAAACACTCACACACACACATACACCAATTACAGTGAAGGCCATCTGTCTTTCTCTTCTCTCCAAGGCTTCCTATAGGAATTCATTAAGGAAACATTTCCAGTAGATCTCACCATGGTTTCTAGATGTGATTACATTATCTACACAGGAATACACAGTGAGCTACGTCAAGTACTTTGCAGCATTGACACGGGTCAGTCTTGTGTAAAGAGTGTGACAGATGGTACCTCTTCACAGCCATGTTTATACATTTGAGGATGCCTTCTCTCATTAGATATAAGCAGATTTGACATCCTTCACTGCACATTGAGCTTGTTTTTTACATTGGAATGTGACTAATCTGAAGCACATAAAATGTGCAATTTACTGCAGCAACACTGTAAATGAGTTCTGAATTCCTCCTCATTATTGTGCATAACTTCAGCCTACAGTCACTGTGGCATGAAATCCATTGATACGTCTTCCATACAGCTTATTATAGAGTTGCAGCAAGATTGCATTACTTCCACAAGTCCTGTGCCACCTCTGTTTAATTTCCCTCATCAGTGTTGTCCCCATTTGCCTTACCTACTGTGTCCTTTCTCAATCATTCAGACCAGCACCTCCCATGGATCTGTCTGCCAGGTAGAAGACCCATGCTATGCATTCATTCATTCATTGCTGCTAATTACATATGCCAGGCCTAGCTAAAAGCTCAGTAAGTAAATGTTAATGGCCGGACAAACTTGGGCAATAGAACAATTGATCAAGCTTATACTGTTGCTAATTATGTTATCTTGCTTTTCATCTTCTCTCCCAACTTTACCTCTTTCTGACACTATCTTTTCTCTCTCCATATGGATGTATTGATCTGTGCCACTAGACGACTAGGTTCCCGTTCAATTCAAAGCCCCTTTTTTCTGTCTGTAATGGTGCATAATCATCCGAGCAAGGCCTGATTCGAGGCTGCTGGAACCCCGCTAAGAGACACTGTATCTGGGATCAATCAGCTCGACGTGCTAAACAGTGGAAGTAGACAAGAGCTCGGAGTGTGACCATAACAAGACTGTTAACTTAAAAGAAGTTGTATGAGTAGATAAAACTATTCATTCATTATCTCTTTGATTATATTCAGTCCACATACACAATCACGCCGACCCTCCACTGACAAGAGCGACACTGAATGACTTCAGTCACGTGGATGTGTTGCGAACAGCCTGTTAAATGTTGATGCTGTGCCTCCAAAACACATGCTCACACACACGCACACACACAGTTCAGTTAAACCAGTGCTACAGTGAAACATGTGCTACTAAGTACACAGCTACAAATACAAGACGTAAATACATTCATGAATGCACACTTTTTGACATTTGCAAAAGACAGAGAGAGTGAGTGAGAGAGAGAGAGAGAGAGAGAGAGAAGTAAAGTGCTCATTTAATGTTCATGAACTGAGCACCACTCTCTATTTTCCAAAGGAGCAGGAAAGCCTTTTGCAGAACCTCAAGTTGCATGTTGCTTATGGAGCATCCAACCAAACAGGAAAGAGCAACATATGGACACACTGAACCTGACTACTCTCGTGTTTTTCCCAGGAGTATTTGAAGCTCTCATGGCCCGGTGTCCTCATGTACCTCTCTTGATATAGAACACATTCATTCATATTTTAAAATATACACTATTCCTTTCTTTCCCGTTATCACAGACTCATAAGACCCTTGAATCACATTATTACTTTATGAGCTACTTTATACGACCCAAATCATCTTCTCAGCCAGTGAACATTTCATCACTTGGAGATTGGCAGGTGTGCTTGATTGATTTTTCTTGAAAGAATCGAGCTGATGCTAATTTTTATGAAAATGATGGATTACCTAAAGAAAAAGCCTGTAAACGTTCCATGTGTTTCTTATTGCCAACACATCCTATAACATGACCACAATCCATTTATATTGTAAACAACTATTATCGTTGCCTAAAAACAATTAAAAACACTTAATCGTTGCACTGGGTGACATAACCACTAATGTGGGCACTGTAGTTTATTTTGCGATGAATATCACCTTCGATATAGGATATAGATTAAAGAGGGTTATTTATTTAAAATCTGTTATGGGATTTATAGAAAAGCTGTAAAATACCCTGGCCGTAGCCTTTATGACATGCTGTGCAAACAGAACATTATTATCAATACAGACCAAGGTAAGATCCTCAGTGTGTACTCATGAATGAGAGCTTGAGGTAATCACTATAATAACTCCCACACAAAATAATAACGCTGTACAACACACAGTCCTCCTCTGATCGCAGCAGACAAAGTGCATTAATGACTGATGTGAATACATATGGCAGACATACCCCTGAGCTTTGGCCGTTTTGTTGTCAAAATCCCACTTAGACCACTTCTCCTGATTATCCGCTTTCAGTCAATTATCAAAACAGCCAACAAATACAGTGTAGATAATGACCAGGTAAAGGATACATCTGCTTCAGACTGCCACCACTCAGAGGTGTCCTTTAGCTTAACTACACAGGTGTGCATGTACGAGCACACACATAAAGAGGCATAGCATGGTGTAAATGCTATCCTGCAAATCAGAAGGCCATATAACCACAAATCGATACATTTCACAAGTGTCCTCGAGCTAGACAATAAAGCTCAACCCCAATACCGTTAAAGCACAGAAACTGCTCTTACAACTCTAGGAGAACAAGCTACTGTAGATCCTACATGCTCACATGCCTACATACCGTACATTCAGTTAAGAATTTGCATCAAACTGCCACTTTGGACAGCTCTGTGAATATGAATCCTCTTCTTCCTTTTGCCCCTGAATATTGGATGTAAATCATGTATCGCACAACAGTCCAATATGCATGTCTTTCCTGAAGAAAACCCCGCTCTCTAAGCACACAAGCAATTAAAAAAAACAGCTAGTTACCTGGTTGTAGAGAGCACACACATGGAGGGCGGTGTTTCCAGATGCATTCTGGGAGCTCATGTCGGCTCCGTAGAACAGCAGGTGCTCCAAGTGCTGAACGTGGCCATAGCGGCATGCCTGAAAGGACACATTCATTCATTTACTCTTTAACATCATTAATCCTTGTTTAGTTACAAAGTGAAAAGGGAGCAGTCACCCAGTGTGTCTGAGAAAATGATCTATTTAATTTGTCAAAATTAAATAGATGACAAAAAGGTGTAGTGTGTAAAAATGTGACACACTGGATTTTAACCAGAGCTCATTGTGTTTCTGTGAGCTTATCAATCCCAGTAAAGAAAACTGAAAAGCTAGATGAACACTCAAGTGTTAGGGTGCAGTACGCCTCTGGTTCTGCCTGTTAAAAGCAGAAAGTTGTTTTTAAATACAACCATTTTAAAAGTTGTAGTTTTTTCCCTGGGGCTAATTCCCTCACACATGTGGTTCACAGTCTCGTAAAGCAGGAGAGACCCTTGTTCACCTGAGGCAAAATCTCTGAGGTAAAATTATTCTCACAAAATGAGATTCCTTTTTTCAGCGCCTTTGTTTCCCATAACTGGAAGCAATACACTTTTCATCTTATCTTTATCTCCTCTACCTCTTTTGCCTCCTACTCTGTGGTTTTGTCCTGTGTCATTGACAAAGAAGCACACCGTCTCTCCCCAGCAATTGTTTTCCCCTCCTGTGTTCTGTCTCGCTAAGAGTGTGTGACAGTGGGGAGACAGCACACAAATGATGCTGGGATTGTTGTTGGTTATCACACCTTCAGCAGTGTATCCTATTGTACACCATGTATTCCTCTAGAATACTAATGCTGGAAAGGTCACAGAAAAAGGAAAGACAAGGAAAAGGAGGTAGACATAGGGAGAACGTGTGTGAGGCTGAAGGACCTTTGGATTTACTCTGCAGTGTCTTGAATTTATAACATAATCTGAGTCCTATTTAAACCTGGGAGACGAGTATAAAAACAAACCCTCATAGTTTTCATTTCTGACTTTCATCTTTCCCTAAGGTAGCTTCTCCTTAGCATGCCAGCTTTAGGTAAAGCAAAATGGAGGAGAGACATGGTGTGTGATGGAGACAGCACTAAAGGTACCAGTGGGCTTAATGCAAGAACATTTTTGTATTTATATACTCAAAGTTCTCTGTGCCATGGTGGATTCAACAGACTGTTAACTGCACAAACTTGAAAGCAAATGCTTGAGTTAAAGTTGAGTTAAAGTTTCACTTTGCTGTGGTTTAAGTCTTGCAGTCAGAGATCAGCAGAAAAAAACACAACAAGTTTTTCCAGAGTCACTAGTCATATCCAGTAAGAGAACCACTTCCAACAACATGTATCAAAGCAGCAGTATATTGTGACAAACATAAAGATGGACTGGCTACATCAACCTAAATGTTGCAGATGTGTTTTTCCCCTGTAATAATAATAATAATACATAACATTTATATAGCGCCTTTCACGAAACCCAAGGTCGCTTCACAAGTCGGGCAGGGGGGGGGAGTAGGGGAAAAGAGGCAGACAGGTCAGGGGG